ACGTACAGCCAGGTTGGTCTACTGATAGGAAGGCGTAGAGATGCTCCATTGGCACAGAGCCGTTGATGCAGGCAAAGGGGCGAAATTTTTGCCTTCAGTTACCAAAGTACTGCAGACCCCGTGCAAGGCCATGAAAGTAGTTAGTATTGCCTTTGCACAGGGGAAGATCTGGAAGGAAAGGCCTGGAGTGAGGGAGAATAGCTAGAACTAAGCGTCTCCAGAATGCCTGAAGCCTGGTGATGTGGTTGAGCAGGCCTGGCGATGTGGTTGAGCAGGCCTGGCGATGTGGGCAAACAAGGGGGGGGGGAATCCATGCCAGTTTAGGAGCCAGAAACCCTTGTTTGAGAGTCCAGATTAAGACGACTGTGGCTGGCTTGTGTCGGGAGGGCTATGCTGATCACTGTCCTCCCCCCCACAAGCGGTACGGAGTTGGCTGATGCCATGACCTTATGGTGACATACAAGCTGCGCCAGGTCACACTGACTCGTGCACATGGTGGCAGTCAAGCCGCTGTTTCACTGCTCTTCTTAGCCCTTGTGCCCAAGCTGCTGTCTTATCATCCACTCTCTGAAAACGAGGACATGTGTCAGAATGGCAGCGACACAGTCCACGTGAGCAGTGGATGAAGGACTCCCTAGAACTTAGCAGGGATGGGCTCAACCTGCAGGTCCCTATGAGCCCAGATCCATGTGAACTGACCCTGAGAAAAATGACGGGCTCGTTCAGTGTTGGTAGGCCTCACTTTGCTTCCCTGATCACGTTGCTAGTGAAGACGTGTGGTGTCTTAGGGTTTCTCTTCCAGCACTTGGTGACTCTCTGGCTTCTTAGATCCTTAGCAAAACAGTGAAATGGTCATGAAAGCAGTCAAGGTGCTCCACAGAGTCATTTATTCTGCGTATCAAAACACTCAGCAAGAACCAAGTGAGCTGGAAGGAGCTTCAGGGATCCATCTTGGAATTCCGTCTGTGGCTTTCACAGCTGTGGTCCACGAGTTAAGATGAGTCTGTGATGGTAGATCTGGGAGCTTTGTAAAGATCTTATCTTAACAATTCTGCTGCTTCCTCAAATGTTGTTCACTTTGCAAGCACTTTCTCTCTTGGCATGATCGATGTCTTCTTCCTAGTTGACTTAGAAATACTGTTTTGGGGAACATTGAGGAGGTGTTTTATTTTTTTTTCTTAATTACTGAAATTATCAAACCACTGGTTTCGTTGTTTGGATATCTTTTCCTCTTCTCATCTTTCATTTTGTCTTGAAGATTTATTGATTTTTGTTTAAAACCCAGCAGGCTGGTGTTTTGCAGCTTTTTAAAAACCGATTTGTTTCAGTGCTTTTTTTAATTCCTAGTTTGGGGTGAGGAGATACTTACTTTCTAATTGTCATATTGTTTCAAAACCCAGAAGTTTTCAAGTGGCTTTCCCCCCCCCCCCCTATTTGCCATAACCCCTGTTGAATTTGTGGCCCTTTGGTCTCGTGAGAGACGCTGTAGGATCTAAGTTGATAAAGATGGAGAGGAGTCAAAGCTGGTTTCTGCTTCCTCCATCGCTAGTGCCAAAGGAGACAGATTGGGCTCAGTCGTCCTCCACCGTAAGTGTCGAAAAATGAGAAGGGTTTTCAGCATATTATACGGGAGGAGCAGTGTTCTAGTACTCCAAGTTATAAACGGAAGGATGGTGCTAATGAATTATGCAAATCCTCCACTCAATCGATGACGGAGATGGACTCTGCCAAGGATTTGAAGACGAACCGATGTTGAAAGAGAAGGGCGGCAGGTTGGGGAACTGAATTTCTCCATCCGTCTGGCTCTTTAGGGTACAGGTGACGCAGCAGGCCTGTCTGCTGTCCATGCCAACGATGGATTTTGAACGCTGTTCAACAGCTTCTTCTTTGTTAAAAAGACACACGGTTGGTTCCTCTTCAGGGTGGCCGAGACTCCCAAGAAATGCTTTGTTAAGGCGTTGCTATTGAATTCCCTTTTTCAAAAAAAACCCCGATTTCACGATGTCCCGTTCTTCCCCCACCCCTTAAAAAGAAAATACGTGGCCGTGCAGCTGAGCTGCGCCCACGCGGTGAACCTCTGGGAGGCCCAAGCATCAGGTACACTTTGCATTAGAGCACCCAAATTAGGTGCACCCCTCCTGGAGAGGGGGCACAGCGGGAGGGCAGACCTCTCCCTCTCTCCTTCCCTCCCTCATGGCTTGATTTCAAAGAGCTGCTAAATGGGTCCATTGTCCCTGCTCAGATTAGCTAAAGGAAATGGCTGCCATTGTGTGTCAGCCCTGTGGACGGGGCTGGTCTCTTGGGGGACTGTTCAGCCAGCTCTTCGCCTGGTAGCGAGAGCTCGGGGGGTCTGCAGTCCTCTTGTGTCCAAAGGGCCTCGTTCTGCAGAGTCCTTGTGGTGCAGCAGCTCTTATCAGGCGCACTCTGATGTTACCCCTTTCCCTTCCCTGCTCCGCTAATGAGGGGCAAGCTCTCTTTTCATTTATTTTTTTAGGAGAAGTAAAAAAGGAACTTGGAACTTAAGAGGAGAGTGTCCCGATTCTTTACCCTGCTTCAAGAAATAATGTTTGCTAGTTTTGTTTTCTAAGCCCATATTTTTGAGGGGGTGAAAAAGCAAGAGAGAGAGAGAGAGATCGTCTTTATTTTCTTGGGAAAGCTATTGAAGCTGAGGTGAGACGCGCACTCGGTTTTATATTCAGATAATTCTATAGCGAGAGGAAAAGTGTAGATATTTTTGGGACAAGGAAATGGGACTATGCAAATCTGAAAGACAGATGGCTTGAAGAGTTAGTTTAACGCTTTCTAAACTTTGAAATTTAAAGCAGACTAAAAAAAAAATCTAAAGGCATTTTTGTTGTCTAATTCAAGTATAGGTTAGTTCCACAGTTGTTTTTGATGATTGTTCAAAAAGTTTTGTGGGGCTGGAGGGGAATTAATCTTTTTTTTTCTTTCCTTTTTTTAATCATGTTTTTTAACTTGCTCCTCTGGTGTTTCTGTTCTTTTACAATGGAATGCTGTGCCGTCTTTGATTCAACTGATCGTGTTTGTATTCTGTTACCTGGTTCCTAATGTAGAGAAACAACAGATATAAAGATGTCATTACATTTTTGGGGGAAATAAAGGGGATTTTGGGGGGGTACTTCACCTCCAATCTGTCTTGGTTGTTGTTTCTTTTAATTGTCTTTGTTGTCTGATGTGCCCAAAGTCCTCTGAACACAGCATTGTTAGTCTGACGTTTAAGAGCAGGTGATCCTAAAATAAAAATGAATTCAGTCCTGCAAACACAAACATAGTGACAGATTGTGATGAACTCCTGCCTTTATTAACGGAAATATTTAAAGTTGGGTCAGCTAACCAGACCAGCTCTGTATGTTCGAGATTCCATTTTAAGGTGGGGCCTGTTCACTGCAATGGAAATGTAGAATTTCCTTTATCTGTCATTCACAGCAATTGTCTTCAGCATCCTCTCCTCCTCCCCTCTTATACGATCAGGAAAATAAACCAGCTAATATTGGGGTTTATTCAACGGAGACAACGTCTCTACTAGTCTGTTGAACAACTGGAACAGTGGCAGCTTCTAAGGTATTTATAAGGTTTTGGAGCCTTGCTTATGTTGCAGAGATGACTGAGAGTGCCTGGTAGCTGGAACTTCACAGGCATTATCTCACTAATCTTTGCTTGGTGAGAGCCAGTTTGGTGTAGTGGTTAAGTGCGCAGACTCTAATCTGGGAGAACCGGGTTTGATTCCCCACTCCTCCACTTGCACCTGACTGGATGACCTTGGGCAAGCCATAGTTCTGATAAGAGCTGTTCTTGAAAAAGAGCAGTTTCTGTCAAGAGTTCTCTCAGGCCCACCTACCTCACAGCGTGTCTGTTGTGGGGAGGGGAAGGGAAAGGAGTTGGTAAGCCGCTCCCTTGGGTAGTGAAGGGCGGGATATAAATCCAATCTCCTTATCCTCCTCCTCCTCTTCTCCTTCTCCTCCTCCTCCGTAACATCCTTGCCAGGTAACCCAGTAACACAGCTACCTCTTTGTACTTGGTATTATTATACCCCGGGCTTTTTTTCTAGGGGAACATGCCGAAACAGAGTTCTGGAACCTCTTTGACAAAATTATTTTTTAAATGTTCAAAAGCTTATGAGTTTTCAGTATACAGATTGAAAACTTCATTTCTCTCTTGAGATTTCTGGCACCTCTTTTTCAAAAAAGGAAAGGAAAAAAAGCCCCGATTATACCTAATGGTGGATAAGGGGCTGAGAAAACAGGGCCTTGTCTAGGGTCAACCGCTGAACCCATGAACGATTGTACTACATTTGTGCCCCGCCCTTCTCCCCAGTGGGGACCAGAGTGGCTTACACCATTCTCCTCCATTTTGTCCTCACACAACAACCCTGCAAGGTGGGTGAGGGTGAGACTGTCCCACGTAGAAGAACTGGACAATCACTGCCGGATTTGGGGACATAATTGGGGCTGTCCCAAGAATACTGACCCAGCAAGCTTTCATGGTAGAGTCCAGATTCAAACCTGGGTCT